CTAAAAGAAGGCCGGTCTGATTTTCATCTCAGCTCTCTTGAGAGAGTACTGAAGTCCTGTCCATGTCCGCCAGATGATGCCTTGACCTTTATGTGTATGTGAACCGTTGTAATAAAAACCATTTAGGTTTGCATTAAGGCAATTTATGTACCACCAGGCTCCTTGGAAATGGGCAGCGCAGTTGCCTTTGTCAGAGTCATGATCTCGGTCTCTGGTGGAAAACGGACTGCCACGATACCAAAATAATGCGTCATGAGCAGTTCCTGGAGTCATACAAGGACATTTTACCAGGAATATTTGGAGTACTGAATACCTGAATATAATCTAGTATTGAAGTACAAGAGGGGGGCTACGTTTGAAAAAGTAACTGAGCTCCTTTTAAAACTTCCTAGAGTTTTCAAGTTTGCAAGAAGTCAAGAAACCGCTAGCAAACAAGCTTTGAACGAATAATACGAAGATAAAATAATATACGTCAAAATTAAATACAGTGGAACCCCGTTAATACGACCACCTTCGGCCCATGGAAATTTGGTCGTATTAACGGAGTGGTCGTATTAACGGGGTAGGGTCAAATTATGGTGCAAAATGCTTTTAAGCTACATTCTACTACATGTATACCTTTAATCCGCTATAAATCAACCTTTTTGCAGTTAATTGACAACCTTACAATAACGTTATAGCTGTGACAAAGGATAAGGATGTTGTTGGACATGTGCCAAGGGCAATAGCTAGCACGAAGCAGGGAACTGGAATTATTCGCCGTTTCTCACCAAAGAAAGGAGGCAAAGCACAAGTTCAAGTTGTTGGGAAAGCCGTTAATCGTGGGGGAGGATACGGGATGGAAATCCCATGCGTTTACAAGTTTACTGGACAGACATGAAACGTTGATATGCTTAACAAATTATTAGACATTGCAAATAACCGATCTGTGAGAAAAGAACAGGAAATGGACTTGAAGAGAAAAGCCACAGTGGAGGGCAGCAGAAACAAGAAGGCAAAATAACTGTTGAGAGCCTCGAAATGCTGCAAAGTGAAGTCTTTCAGATCTTTTGTGTATTATTCATTCATGCATCCTTTTTACTGAACACTGCAATTTACCGGATGTCATGCTAACCACTAACACCTTTGCCTAAAAACATTCAATAAAATATTAGTAATGCGTTATTGTTTGTCAGATGGTGTCTGTTTTCATTCAGCAACCCCAACAAACATTTTGACTGGTCGTATTAATGGGGTAATTTTATAAAGAAAATTAAGACTCAGGACTCCCAAAGGTGGTCGCTGGTCGTAATAACTGGGTGGTCGGATTAACGGGGTTTTAAGATAAGAAAATGAGTGGGCTTTTGTTCGGGCCACAAAAAAGTGGTCGTAATAACGGGGTGGTCGTATGGCGGGGTTCCACTGTACATTCCAAGCACGATACCTGAGTACTTTCCTAGACTGAGCTTGTATTTAGTCGTTTCGTTTGTAACTGCAAACATGTCATATTCAGCGTAAGCAGTGCGGAATGAAAAGTCCTCCAGATCAATTCGAAGGTAGTTGCGTTTCTTTTCCGTCAGGCGGTAAATCTTGTCCAATCCAAGCCAGAACTCACCGTTCAGGTTGCCAAACCCATTTTTGTAGTCATCCCAGTAACGGTTGAAAGAACCCGAGCCATCCAGTCTCTTCTGGAACACTGTCCACCCCCCTCCGGTTGTTTCTTGATCACAGAACACATTAAAGGCACCTTCACCATCAGGGTCGATTGTGTACACACCGCTGATTGTTTTGCCACCTTTGTATAGTTCAGCGCAGTTCTTAGCTAGTATTAAAATTAAAATTAGTTAAAATAGAGGAGACGTGTGACGTCACGTTACCATGGTAGCAAAATTACCAGATTACAACAATAGGGAGCTTGAGCAACGACGACGGTAACGGCGACGGCAACGAGAAGAGCAAAAAAGGCAATAGCTTTATACTAGTAATAATTGCCAATTTGGGGGGTGCGTTCGATGGGGAGGGGTGGGGTGAGTAGTGAGTGGTAGTCATAAGGGGGTGCAAAACTTAAAAGAGCTTGTGAGATTGAGAAATCAAAATAACATGCGTATTTCGGATCTCCTCAGAATATTAGTGTGTGACATGTATGACAATATGAGTCAGGGAAAATTTAACTCTTTCAAAGAAGTCAGAGGGAGGAGACATACTCACAGAAGTTAAACATGTTCCATTGGCAAAATATTGTTTCAAGAAATTAAACGACAAGCAGATATAGGGTTTCCTATAAGATCTATCCATTCTGCACTTTACATTCACGATAAATTCATGTAATAAATGGGTGGAGAGGATGGCCAGCTGTGATGGGAGTTTGGTCATTTAATTCGTGTACCCGACACAGATGACGTAAAACAAAAGAACAAAAACCATGAAACAATACCAAGCAGATTTTTCCCTGAACAGGCAACAAAGAAGTGTTTTGTCTTAACTAGAGCAATTTACGTAGCTGACTCGAAGTCAAAGGGTGGGAGTGTTGGCATATCTCGAAGTCCACGATCGCTAGAAAGATTGTTTCTAACTATTCACCAAAGAGCCTCATAGCTGTGAAAAAGATGTGTGGTTCTGACAGAAAGTGACCACGTAACATCACAAGAAGGCCGCATCGAAGAGATTGACGCGCGATTAAGAAGACGTCAGGAAGCTTGTTGACTATTTTTCCCTTGTCTGGTTTATTGAGTGACCCTTTCGTGCAAGAAACGGAGTCTCTAGTCAACTTTGCTACCGGCGTAGAACTGACTTCAAATGTTGCAGAGGGCCTTGTTAGAGTAATGAAAAAGGTCGAGAACAGACGAAAATCTTTGAACACTACTACTGTAAATCTTTGGGATCCTGTTCCAAGCTTGAAGGTAAATACATTTAGTACCATGTCCGAGAGATTGTTAAGGCTGTAGATGACAAGGTTGTTACTGTATAACGCTGACAGAGATCTCAGCTACAGATTAACACCCAACAAATCGATTTGAAGGAAGGTTTGTGCTATGAGCTGTCCCTAATTCCATGCGCACTCGCACACCAAGATGGCAGCTTGTGAAAAACCTTATAAGAGTATTCTATATTAACCAAAACTGAGAAAGAGGTCAACTTCGTTGAACATTAAGTTAGTTACCATTTTTTAGCGATTTTTTAAGAAAGAATTAGCAGGTAAATGGTGATTCAGGTTCCAGCCTCGTTTTCATGCTGGACCGTAAGGTGCGTGAAATAAAATCGCCATTTACTCCAAACCTATACCACAAATTGACCTTACAAATTATTAGGCAATAATCAGGGGGACTTGATCTACCAAAATCCGGTATCAGACCTTTTCTGACCCGTGGGTTGAACGAAACGACAATTTTCCGACCTCAGCTACTGGATTAAACTGCTTCTGCGTTCGATTTTGTGGTTAGACCAATGCATTTTTTCTATCAGCAGACTGAGGAAGAAGAAGAAGAAGAGGAAGAAGAAGAAGATACTTTTATTTAGCTAGGGAAACTCCTACAGTTACAAAAACTGATACCCTTAGAGGCCCTAGATAAAAAAGAAATATAAAAATATGTTAAAAATATTTAAAACTAGTCCTAACTAAACTAATAGAAAAATATCCTAAAAAAGGGTAAAAATTATTACAAACTATCAATAAAAACTACAAATTACGATTAAAAACTTCACATCCATGATAATAAAAAGCTTTTTTCGTACATTTTCTAATGGACGTCGCATGCTGATGTGTTGCTAAGACGCCTATGAATGCCGATGGCAATGAAAATGGCTTAAAGCTGTTTTATAATCACCGATTCCTTTGACATTACTGTATTTACTCGAATAAGCGCCACGGTGCTTATTAAAATTTTCATGTCTCAAATGCGGTGCTTATTCGAGGCTGCTCTTATTTTAAAGTTGGGGGCGATAAAGAACTGTTTCTTTTCAGTAACCGATATTATTTTATTTTATGACAGAAACGTCTTTTGGTTTTGATTGCATCGGGGCCGCGCCGCGTATTTGGGGTGGCACTTTTAACTATTTTTGTCCCAAATGTGGCGCTTATTTCAGGGCGGCACTAAATCGGGGCGGCGCTTATTCAAGTAAATGCGGTATTTTACCAGGAAATTTTGTTTGTTCCTTGGAAACTAAAACAGAAACAAGACGTCCTAGGGTTCCGTAAAAGTTCTAAAAGTTGACCGGTCTGATTTTCATCTCAGCTCTCTTGACAGAGTAGTGAGTTCCTTTCCATGTACGCCAGATGATACCTTGACCTTTAGATGGATTTGAACCGTTGTAATAAAAACCATTCAGGTTTGAATCATGGCACTTACTGTACCACCAGGCTCCTTGGTAAAGCACAGCGCAGTTGCCTCTGTCAGCATCATGATCTCGGTCTTTAGTGGAAAACGGATGGCCATAATGATGCCGTAATAATGAGTCACCAGCAGTTCCTGGAGTCATACAAGGACATTTTACAAGGAATGTTTGGAGTAGAATACCTGAATGTAATCTAGTATTGAAGTACAAGAGGGGGGCTACGTTTGGAAAAGTAACTGAGCTCCTTTTGAAACTTCCTAGAGTTTTCAAGTTTGCAAGAAGTCAAGAAACCGCTAACAAACAAGCTTTGAACGAATAATTAAGACACGAAGACAAAATACTATACAGCAAAATTAAATACATTCCAAGCACGATACCTGAGTACCTTCCAAGACTGAGCTTGTATTTAGTCTTTTCGTTTGTAACTGCAAACATGTCATATTCAGCGTAAGCAGTGCTGGATGTAAAGTCCTCCAGATCAACTCGAAGGTAGTTGCGTTTCTTTTCCGTCAGGCGGTAAATCTTGTCCAATCCAAGCCAGAACTCACCATTCAGGTTACCAAACCCATTTTTGTAGTCATCCCAGTAACGGTAGAAATCAACCGAGCCGTCCAGTCTCTTCTGGAACACTGTCCACCTCCCTCCGGTTGTTTTTTGATCACAGAACACATTAAAGGCACCTTCACCATCAGGGTCGATTGGGTACACACCGCTGATTGTTTTGCCAGCTTTGTATAGCTCAGCACAGTTCTTCTTAGCTGTTCAGAAAAGATGACCTTAAAATTATTCAAAATAGAGAGGAGACGTGTGACGTCGCGTTACCGTGGTAGCAAAATTACTAGATCACAACAATAGGGAGCTTGAGCAACGACGACGGTGACGGCGACGGCAACGAAAAGAGCAAAAAAAGCAATAGGTTTATACTAGTAATAATTGCCAATTTGGGGAGTGCCTTCGATGGGGAGGGGTGGGGTGAGTAGTGAGTGGTAGTCATAAGGGGGTGCAAAACTTAAATGAGCTTGTGAGATTGAGAAATCAAAATAACATGTGTATTTCGGATCTCCTCGGAATATTATTGTGTGACATGTATGACAATATGAGTCAGGGAAAATTTAACTCTTTCATAGAAGTCAGAGGGAGGAGACATACTTACAGAAGTTAAACATGTTCCATTGGCAGAATATTGTTTCAAGAAATTAAACGACAAGCACCTATAGGGTTTCCTGTAATATCTATCCATTCTGCACTTTACATTCACGATAAATTCATGTAATAAATGGGTGGAGAGGATGGCCGGCTGTGATGGGAGTTTGGTCATTTACTTCGTGTACCCAACACAGATGACATAAAACAAAAGAACAAAAACCATGAAACAATACCAAGAAGATTTTTCCCTGAACAGACAACAAAGAAGTCTTTTGTTTTACGTCATTTGTGTCCAGTACACGAGGTTTTGACCGGAGTTTAGAAGCCATTGTCTGCACAAATTGTCAACTTATTTGGTCAGGAAAGTGTACATTTGACTGTCATGATCAGTCTGGGAATTTCAAAAACTATGCCTCTGACAACCATGTCTCAACAAGCTCATGCATGTTGAGAATTGAGAAACTGATCATCTTCAACATGACTTGTACGTTAACATTTCATAATTCCCTCTTGCGTTCAATAGTCATGATCACTTTCAAAATTCTCCTGAACTGCACCCTTAAGACATTGCTAATGTAATTTCTATTTCAGTGATTATGTTTGCACCTTACTGTTGCTTACAAACAATTAGTTGTCAAGTGTGATTATAAACTAAGACAAGTGCAAACACTCTCATTGCTGTAGTTCACGTAACAATATAATATATTTTTTCCTTCAATTACCAGCATTTACTTGTTGTTTTGACCGCAGCATAATCTCCTACCATTTCATCCACTCACTACTACTGACACACTTCACAAATAGTGAATTATAATTACACTTATTATTAGAGATGCCATCTATCCCAAATATTAAGCAAACGCAACTGAATGTTAGCCTGCAGTTATTCACTATCACACCCATTTCCTTTTGACTATAATTACACATGTAGAAGGGTCAAATAGGGTGAACACGGGACTAATGCAAGATTGGCTACCTTTCCTCGACAACAGCAATCCCATTTAAATCCCAGAGGATCGTTTTAGCCAAAGAACTGGGTCCAAATTTACTCCAACCAAAAGGAGATTAAGTACATCTCACCATCCAATATTAGTCATATTAGAGCTAGTGTTGAATCCCGCCCTCCTCAGCTACACATTTCACCAATTCTCTCCCGCCCTCCCATCCCTGTCATTTTATGGGCCAGAGCCTCTCGAAGTTCTGCGATACACGTATTTTCTAGTTATAGACGTAGTTTATCGATCTGGCTGGTCAATTAAATCGTGATGTTGTTGTTCATCTGTCAGTTAAGCCGTGATGTTTATGGCTATGATGACATTGTTGAACACCAGTTACAGACGAACCACCAAATCGACACTGACTCTACGACCTGCCTTACGTGTTTCTCAGACTGCTATCAACGATTCACAAAAGAAAGCTGATTTACCAACTAGGAACAAACGCGGCTGAATCGTAGTCAGAAGTTACCGGCACCTTCAAAACGACTTATCAACGGACTCAAGCAAGACTGGCTTCAGTAGAGTGAATGGACAACTGACAATTTGACTAACAATAAAACGACCGTTGTAACTGTGACAAAAGATGGATCGAAATTAGAGTCCTCACTGCCAATAACCGACAGACGACCAATAACACTGCAATTTATCCACCATTCAGGTCAATCAGAATTAAGTCAAATTCAATTTCTTGCGCTTCCCGCACGCTTATGTTTAGAGGCAGGAGAGGCCATTTTTGCATCAACGAGTGTAAGTAGTTTAATTCTACAATTGTATCCAAAACTCCTCAGAACGATAAGATTAAGCCATGAATTACTCCTCGCGGAGAGAGAATGGAAGGCCCTCGCGTGGCCGAGGTTCCTAACTCGCGCGTGGAACGAGCGACCTTCGCACCGCGATGCAGAAACACGAGTAGGCTCAATAAATATATCCAACCCCGTCACACAAGTTTAACTTGACTGGCACACTGAGTTTCGCGAGGGTTTGCGTATTTCTAGTGTATATATTTTACAACTGAAGTTTGAACAAGCAATGCTACCCTTTCCAACATGCGTTGGTGTAGACTGGCCCACATTGTAGGTAGGGGTGAGGGGCTGAGCAAGTGTAGGTTCATTCGCGAGCGACTGTTTGTTTGGTGTGTTTGTGCGGGGGGGGGGTGTTCGTGTGTGTGTGTGTGTAAAAAAGTGTACAAAAACAAACTTGTCCCAAGACTTTTTTCCATGATTGTAGGGTAGTCTTACTCTAGAATTTGTAGAATTCTCATGATACAACCCCTTTCTAATGAAACGTAAAGGGATCACTTCGGGTTCTCCTAGTATCAAGCAATTAAGACACTCATTCCTTCACAGAACTTCATAGAACTTGCAATCTATATCATTGACTATTATTACTACATAAAATTAATTTTCTCTTCAAGGTAAATATGGTTTCGGAAAAGGAGTGATCAGTTTGGTTACAAATTCTACTCTTTACTTTCTGCAAGTTGGCTTCACCCTACCTTTATCAAACACTCTACCTTCTCCTCCAGTTTGATTTACTTTCAAAGTTTTTATTTCATGTCTTAACTCGATCAGCTGTTGCTTTACCTCAGCCATACCTGCGTAACAGATAAATAATCGGTTTACATTGAAGCATCTAATACCAATTTGACCAGATATATATATGGTAGAAGAAGAAGCACTTTTTGGGTTTGCTACTGGGGAAGCACCCCGGTATAATTAAGAAAGAACTGGTTCATGCTTATGCTGAGGGACAAAAGAGTTATGGAGGCACGCGGAAAGTTTAAACCGGCAAGAGAGAAGCGCGTAAAAAAGGGGCTGTGTCGTCGTTGATGGCTGTCCATTTCATTTTGTTAATTATATTGCCAAATACGTACATAGCCTGCGAGCAAGCTCTCAATTACCAATTACGCTTCCTCATCCGCTATGAATTCCTATTTCGGATTCCAAACGCAAAAATTTCCCGGATTCCAGAATCCCGATTACCTTACATTGGGCGATACATTCTAAGTAACTAAGCGTTTAAGTCGTTCGTATCATAGACTTAACTGTTTTCATGCTAATGTTAGTAGATCAGAAGTGCAGGATAGTCTTTTACAGCGGTATCAGTAATGATTAGATTATTTTCAGCGAAAAAGCCTCAATTAATGCCTTAACAGGGATTACTGCGGCTCCTCGAAGACTCCTTTCGATATCTTTCAAAGTAATGATAAGAGAATTCAAAGCGAATAAATCAATATCAATTCAGTTTTAGGACACCATTTCAAGACTAGATACCAAGAATTAGCGGAATCGAGGTACCGTGGTATAACGGTATAAAACTCGAATCTAATTTTCAAACTTCGAGCCTGCCAGAGTTACAGAAAATCACTTCAAATTAGTATCTAAAAATTACCTTTAGTTTCACTTGCTCCTGTAGGCATCATCCTTATAGTTAAAATCAATGTAGCAACCACTGTCAAGAAGGATAAGGCCAGAAAAGCTATCATAGCGGATAACATATGACGACTTATAGCAATATTTTCCGTAGATTGTTGTCGTCTTCTTTCATCGTTTTTATGGTAAATTTGGTTTCCTGCTGGGTCTTCGGACGGTGAGGACTGGATAGTGAAGAACTGTAGGTGATCATAAGGATGTTCATTCTTGGGTTCAGCTCTGGAAGCCTGCATCCTTTTGGTTGTGACGAAAACTCTGAGCAAGAGTCTTCTTCAAGGTCACAGTTTGTAGTGAATGACACTTGTAATAACTTAGTGCCTAACTATTCTCATTAATATGATGTCACGGGAAAAAAAAATTTCCGGTTTTCTTCAGTGGTTTCTTTTGGCCATCAAAAAAGGACATCCGGATTTTAGCTCATGGATGACGTAGTCATGCCATGGGCTTTTGGAGGCACTCGAATGGGACTCGATCACTCACTCACTCACTCAGCTCAGCGCATAGAATCAGTATGACTAAACTGCGATTGGGAGCTCATACTTCTGAAAATGATGCAACCTTCATCAATTTAACAGATCATGATAGAACGTTATATTTACTCAGATTAGACAATGACAATACTTCACAAATTATAGTCAAATATGCCCATCTAATGCTTTTTGTTTTCGTTTTTTAAAAAAAACGAAAACAGTTCCTGAGTCAAAAATCCAATTATAGGATGACAGGCTTAGGCCGGTTCAGGAATTTGGGTCCCCGCTGCTTAGGTAAAAATTTTTTCCCTAAATTACAGTAGGAGCTGAAAGAGGAACCACACTAAAAAGAAGACAAGCCTTACGAAGGTGTTGTAAGGTGGATTAATCCTGAACGCCTGATATGTAATACAATAAAACAATGGGACAGGGCTACTCTTTCTTTGCTGTTATATTTTTCGTGGCTAGCGGTTTCGTGTCGGCTTGGTTAAAAAATATACATCAACGGAATTTTCAGTTTTAAGATGCCTTTATCTTAGTTGCCATTATATTGGTAAAGGATTACATAAATAAATTTGTTAAAGAAAAGTAGATACTTCAAACGTTTATTCGTTAGACAGGGGAAAATAAACGTGCTAGTGTATTTGTCAAACACAGGCAAATTAATACCCTAGTGTATGCTGTAAGACACAGGCAAATTCATGCCCCAGTGTATTTGTTAAACACAGGCAAATAAATGCCCCAGTATATTTTGCAGCCTGCGAAAACATCCGTTTCTGCTCGCTCTTCGCCGCTCAACACAGTAGACGTTTCGCGGGGGGAACGTCCCCAGCGGCGAAGAGCGAGGATAAACGGATGTTTTCGCAGGCTATGTATTTTGTTACACAGGCAAATTAATGCCCCAGTGTATTTGTCAGACACAGGCAATCGCTATCGCAGCCTGACTGTGACGATGGGATTTCGCTCAGCGAAAAGCGAATAATAAGCGCTGGCTGCCTAAAAACGGTCCTCGAATTGTTAAAGCGACGTTGAAGAGTAACTATTGTGGTTTATTACTATCTGGACAATTTTGCTTGAATTCTGTAAAAAGGTGATCTTTGCCCAGTAGGCTGTTTGTCCGTGATTCCATTTATCTACAGGAAATGCTGCGCTGGAATAAACAAGTTTCTATTGTAGAATACTCAACTACAGAAGGACAATCGGATACTTCGACTGCGTTAAATTACTTAGCCAGGTCAGAGCACGTACAGCCTCGAGCCCCGGGGAGGGGGGGGGAACTCCCATATGAAACAGACGGGGCTGCCCGTCGGAAATTTTGAATTTAACCCGTAAAGGAGACCATCTGAGCGTGGCTCAAGCTTTTTGTGACTCCTAAAGGAGACCAATCTGGGCGTGGCTTAAGCAAAGGGTAGGTACGTGGTGTAAGCATCAAATAGTGGTTCCCCGTTAGTTACTAGAAGAAGTGTACATAATCCTACATAGCCATACATAGCCCTACATAACCCTACATAGCCCCACATAGCTCTACATAGCCCTACATAGCCATACATAGCCCTACATAGCACTACATAGCCCTACATAGCCATACATAGCCATACATAGCC